GCCGGGGTCGCCTGTGAGCTGGGGACCGAAGGAGGGACCCGGTGCGGGGCCGCGGGCACGATGCCTGCTTTTCCGGAGGCGAAGGAGGCGAGAGGCGCTGTGGCCCTGGCCCTGGCCCTGGCCCTGGCGCTGCTGCTGCCCGCCGTGCCAGCCGGCGCCCAGCTCCGCCTGCAGCCGGGCATGTGAGTAGCGGGGAGCGGGAGCGCTGGGCGCGACGTCGGGGGACCCGGGCCCCTGGGAGGCTGTCCCGGGGCGCTGAGGACAGGGGGCTCTTTGCCATAACTGGGGTGGGGGAGGTTGAGACCAGGTTCCGGGGCTGGGGGCCCCCGCGCGGCCTCTCCCCTTCCCCTCGCTCGCCCCCCTCCTCTGTGCAAAGGGGGGTGCGCGCCAGGCGGATGCTGCGCTCCAGGCCCGAGGTGAGGGAATCTGGGTCCCCGCCAGGCAGGGTCCGCCCAGGGAGCCCGGCTTGGAGACGGCAGAAAGGAAGCAGCCAGTGTTCACTTCCTTCCAAAGCCTGTCTCCCGGGGCCGGGGGCCTGCGCAGGGGCGGGCTTTGCCCAGACGGGGGCCACGCAGGATCGGTTTATGTGTTCAACACGTGCGCTCTGGGGCTGAGAGACAGGGGGAGGAATTCAGCCGGAATGGGCAGGAAGAGCGGGTCAGGGAGCCCGCTGAGCGGGACTCAGGTCTGAAAGCCGACTCCGGCCGGCGGGGTGGCGGTCTCTCTGAAAGGCAAGGCGATCCTCCCCTTGGCCTCCGAGGGAAGCTGGTGCCAGACCCAGTCCGCGTGGAGGAGGCCGGGGGAGCCAGCCGAAGCCCCCACCCGGCGCTCCCCCAGGGTGCGGGGCCTGCGAGCTCCGAGAGGGTGCCCAGGGGCTGCAGAGGGGTGGGTGAGTGGCCCAGGCCTCCTGTCCAGCCTTCCCCGGCCGGCCTGGTGCACCTGGTCGTGCAGGACGGACTGGACAGGCTTCCAGGCGGAGCAGGGGCTGGGCAAGTTCACGCTCCCCCAGGACCCCCTCCCCTGGGCCGGAGGCGGAAGATTCCTGTGGCCTTTCAAAGCACCGTCTCTGGGTTGGGGGCCTTTGCAACCAGAAATGTGAGCAGCCTGAGTCCCCTCGCTGCACGTGGCTTCTGCCGGACACCGCTCTTTCCTGTGACCCCAGGGAATTTAGTCTGTCAGAGGGGAGCTGCGGCCTCAGAGGGATTATCACGGTGGCACTGGCCGCTCAGCCGGCCGGCTCTGTGTGGCTGGCCGGGGACTTCCAGTGACCTAGCTCCTGGGAATCCCAGGGTGTGGGGAGGGGTGGGCAGGCTCAGAGGACACATGTGGGGCTGCTAGTCGCCCTTCCTGCGCCCCTTTTCCTGAGCCCCAGGGGATGTTTTGTGAGGTCACCTGCTCACCTAGGGCCCTGGGAAGCCTCGGGCATCTGGGAAAGCCTGTGCCGCCAGGGCTGACGGACTGCGGGAGGCACCGGTGTCTTTTTTGCTTTACACTTTCCCCAGGACCTCTCCCCCACTCTCTCCTCCTGTGCTTTAAACCCTGGGCTCCTGCTCCTTGGGGGGCCTCCCACCAGCCGGGCAGCGGTGCCCGCCACCCCCCGCTCTGGAGCATGGCCACTCGGGGCTTCTGTGCTCAGATTGCCGCGCGCATGTTGACTTCTGTGATACTTTCGGGCACACCTGCCCTGGCCCTTCTGTCTCCTGAACACCTGACTTGTCTGACCTGCAGCGGGGCTGGGGGGGGACCTGCAATGGGGCCTCGGTGGGCGTGGCTGGTGGCTGTAGGAGGAGAGTGTCCTTCTGCCCCACCCCAGGGAGGTCTCCATGCTGAGAGCTGTTCTGCTGAGCAGAAGGTTGGTGGGAGCGGATGGGCTCCTGGAGGTG